CCAAAATCAATCTCTACTGACATAGCAGGTATTTATTACATAATTTTTATATTTATTGGGGATCTTAAGTCATGTAACTTATGACACATATGGTTGGTTTATGGGTCCAAAATTAGTGGTCCAAAGCATTTTCGAATCAATAATACTACATCCCCAATTTTAGAACTCCAAAATCAATCCTTAATGATATGACAAATATTTATTAGATAGTTTTTATATTTTAGTGGGATTGCCAAGTGATGTGGCTTATGACACATCACTTAAGATTTGTTTGGAAGTCCAAAATTAGGGATCAAAAATATTTTTCTTTGAAAATTAAACATCAGTAGTGACTTCCAAAAATCTACGAAATTGTCAAGACCCCAACCCGGCCCTAGAGGTTAAGGATCATGATCGGCCTGTACTTAAGCCTCAAAGACTTAGAATAAGGACTAATTAAAATCAAAATCTCTTTCATTAATTAAACGCTAAATATTATGCGTGGCGGGGTCGTTATAGAAATGCTCCTTCCTTATTCACGTAAAATAAAAATAATGATCAATGGGAGCTTGATCTAGTAGTACAACCAAAGAATGTCCTTTTTTTTTTTTTAGGATAATTGGTGAAAAGTCTATACCCATGAGGCAATATGTTGTTTAGCCTAATGTTTGATATTTTTTGGTGATAAGAACATGCTTAATAAAATTATTTGGTAAGAAGAACAAATTATTTTTTTGAAGAATTTTTTAAATCAATTGTAACCACATTGCTGGACTGATGCTAGACCATCGTTGACCAAAAAGTTCGTCATAAAAGTTGCCTAAAAAGTCAATGGCAGTGGCAGATGGTAGCGGGCAACACCAGTGGTGGTGGTGGTGGTGGTGATTATATGGACAGATAGGTAGATAGGTGAAAAGATAGAGGACACATGGACAAATAGTGAGATGACAAGTGGAAAAATAAGTGAGCTAGCAATGGATAAATAGACAAATTGGTAGGGTAAAATGATCTTTCAAATTATAATTATTATTTTGGTCTCAAAAGAATAAAGTTTAGGCCTATTAACTCAAAAAATTTAGAATTGGACATCGAGCTTGAGTACCCCCCCCCCAAAAAAAAAAAAAAATTCCCTAGTGATGTTTGATTTCAATTTTAAATTATAATTTATTTATTTTTTCAATTTATTTAGCCCAAGAAAGTAAGACATTCATAAGTTACAATTTGTATTTCTTTTATCTTATTTAAAATCATTAAATAAATATGGCCAAAATATTCCCACCTATGCCTAATCTTACGAATAGCAAATAACTAACCGAAAAGATCTTCTGTGTTACATAACATTGATATCAAACTTTAATTGCTATATTTGTAGATGTCATTGTACAATAATACCAATATACATTGTGCGATGTATACATGATTTGTTAATTGGTTACCGTCCTTCAATAATCGATAGAGATGCCTCATTTATGGAACATCTTTTATTACATTGTGATTGAAGATCGGCGTCTGACAAGCTTTGGATAGTAAATGTGGGTTGTTTTGGATGTGGAAGATCCATTTCATTACTCAACATAAGAACCACAATGGACATGGTTGGCCTATCCGCAACATGATCCTAAACACAAAGAAGACCAATACGTACACATCTCAGTACTTCAGACAAGGAACATGAATCAACCACTACCTTATCCACTAAGTCTAATGCCTGGCCTTCATTGTACAATTCCCATGCCTGGTTAGTAGAACCACATATAATGGTAGTGACAACAATATTTGAAAGCATGTAAAGGTGAAATTAGTGCACTTACATAACCAAGGAGGTTTAAATATTTTTCAAGATAATGAAAACTGCTATTTCTCATGCCACTAACCATCTCTAATAACAAAACACCAAAGCTATAGACATCCGACTTCTCTGAGAATAACCCTCTCATTGCATACTCGGGAGACATATATCCACTGCATTTGATTGGAAATTGTTACATTTATGCTTACCCAAAATTATAGTACTTCCAATAAATAAATATAATGTAACTATTCCAAAAAAAATAAAAATTAAAGAAGGAAGGGAAAAAACTTATTTACTGAATCGCTGATACTGCCTGAATATATATATATATATATAGAAGCAAATAAGGATTTTATATAAAACAAGATGATCAAACTCTTGTGGTTTGCTTATTTGGGAGTAATGTATAGAATAAAGGCTCCTGCAAATTAAATAATAATAATTATTATTAATAACAAGGGCTCTTGCTTTCTATAATGTTGAGATCATGTTTTTCAATCTACTTTGTCTAAAAATATTGAGATAAGAACACAATAATGGAGGTAAGAAGGGAAGATAACTAATCAGGGGGAGGCAGAGATGAAAAAAAGTTTAGAAAAGAAAGAGCACTCCTATAGTCTCCATCCCAATCCAAGATATATTTTAAGACCATTATACCTTTATTTGTAGTATTTCAAACATCAAATGTTCGATATCATACATAACTGCATCAGTAGTACAGGTAGTTTGCAAAGGTGAGCAAAATCTATTGTAGGAAAGAAAGGATCCTTACAATGTTCCCATCACCCTGTGAGTGTTTTCCAGTTCTTGTGTCACTCGGAAAGTTCGCGGTAACCCGAAGTCTGAAATTTTTGGATTCATGTCATTGTCCAAGAGAATATTGCTGGCTTTCAAATCTCTATGAATAACCCTTAAACAAGAATCGCGGCGGAGATAAAGAACCCCTCTGGCAATACCCTGAATCATGTGGAAGCGTTTATCCCAATCAAGCTTTACCTTTTTTGTTGCATCTAACCAAAAGCATGACAGTTCAAAAGATGCATTCATCAAAGTCAGTCCTTTCCATACATTGTATCACCAACAAGGATAAGAGAACAAGGCTGTGAAAACCCATCTTTAATTATTCCTTAAAGAAAATAAATAAATTAATAAATTAATTAATTTTGTCTACAGCCTATCTGAATTATATATTAGTGTAAAAGTTAGTTTTAAATTGACCCAATTCAATCACTAACAAGACATTATAAAAAAAATAATAATTTTGTGGGTGTTCAATATTTGTTGTTTATAAATTATTTTAATTAGGATTCAATATAATAATTATTCTTACTAAATACCTTAGTTAAAAATCTTAGTGTGTCAATTTTCAGAAACCCACACAAAAAAAAAAAAAAGAAAAAAAAGAGGGAATCAAACATTTGCAGAATTTTGGTGGAGGCTTTCCACATGTTGATTTGCATGCTTGTTTAGGGAAGAAGAGCTAATGATGCTTTAGGCTTCGATGTGGAGTCTGGACTTGTCAAATTAGCTAGAAAAGCACTTCGGATTGCCAAAATGAAAATAAAAAATTTTTGAAATTTGATTTGTAAAATCTAACTATACAGATGTGTCCAGAATATTCTAAATAGTTGGAAAGCACTATTGGATCATCAAAAACAGACTCAGAATGGCTCAAATCAAGCCAAAATAGGTTGAACGGTTCAGATCGGCAGAATCTGGTGCGGCTGAGAAGCACCAGATAATTCCTCCAGATTGGCTGACGTCATCATGGCATCATCGGCTCGGCTTGGTCAACGGCTCCAATCAATGGCTTGGACGGCTCGGCTCAAGTGGATTTTCAAAAAAAAATAAATTTAGTTTTTCGTCTCCAAGGGGTTTTGAACTCCTGGCTACCAGCAGCAACTCTTAGGCTTTAGCCACTCTGCCAACACAAGGCTTGGTGCCTTCAGTCTCACAGATAAATATTTATCACATGAAGAATAGAAGGGTCATCTTCTGCCTTGGTTTCGCGTGTGAAACGCGTGCAACCGGTCTCCGGCACGTGGGAACGGCGTCAAATGCCCGTGAAGAGCGTGCGGACTACGCTTACATCCATTTTTTACGCAGTTTTTTCCTTTGTACTCGTCTCGTCGAGAGCTTCAACTTGATCTAATCAAAAGTGGATTTCGACTACTTTGATTTCTGGGCAATTTTTTAAAAACACACTATGTTTTTCTGAAAACACACAAAACCGCTCTAATACCACTTTGTTAGGATCAAACACACCCATAAAATTATCTCACACATACAGAGAACACTACATTTACGTGGTTCAGTCCAATGCCTACGTCCACGGAGCAGAAAAGAGAATTTCACTAAACTTGAGCAAAATACAAAAACAGATGAGAAGATAAAACTCTCACTCAACTCACAGCTCTCTCTCTCAATTTTCTGATACCATTCATCCTCTCCCTCCCGTCTCTATTTATACACAAAGATGAAAGAGAGAGGGAAACCCACCACAATTTTCTACCTTCTTAATGGTGAATGGTGAAAATTAACAAAGGCAACAACAGGAAGAGAAGGGACAACTAATCTTCCAGATGCCCAGCTTAGACCTCCTTCTCTGGAGGTGGAAGTCTCCTCACGCCATCTTTGCTTTGCATCTCTACATGCATGCATGGGGTTGGAACAACAGTAAGAAGAAAAGATAACTAATCGGGTCGGGGGGGAGGACGAAAAAAAGTTTAGAAAAGAAAGAGCACTCTTATAGTCTCCATCCTGATCCAAGATATATTTTAAGACCATTATACATTTATTTGTAGTATTTCAAACATCAAATGCTTCATATCATACATAACTGCATCGGTAGGAAAAGTAGTTGGCAAAGGTGAGCAAAATCTATCGTAGGAAAGAAAGGATCCTTACAGTGTTTTCCATCACCGTGTGCGTGTTTTCCAATTCTTGTGTCACTCGGAAAGTTCGCGCTAACCCAAAGTCTGAAATTTTTGGATTCATGTCATTGTCCAAGAGAATATTGTTGGCTTTCAAATCTCTCTGAATAACTCTTAAATAAGAATCACGATGGAGATAAAGAAGCCCTCTGGCAATACCTTGAATAATATAGAAGTGTTTAGCCCAATCAAGCTTCACCCTTTTCGTTGCATCTAATCAAAAGCATGACAGACAAAAAGATGCATTGTATCACCGATGAGGATAAGAGAACAAGGCTAAACATAAGTTTTTATCATTTCTTTCCTCAGTGTTAAGCACAGTTGTGGTAATAGTATTGAATGACCTATGAAAAATTTATAGTAATAAAGATGAGACTATAAACCAACCGAAGAGAAAAGTGTCCAAGCTTTTGTTTGTCATGTACTCATAAACCAATAGCTTCTCTTCCCCTTCAATGCTGCAACCCAAGAGCCTACCAAGATTCCTATGTTGCAGTTTGGAAATCAATACAATCTCGTTCTTGAACTCTTCCACACCTTGTCCTGAATGCCTCGAAAGTCTTTTCACTACCACTTGATAGCCATCTTCTAACCTTCCCTGTAGACCACAATTTTTATTAGTTAGTACATCAGATATATGTCATCATAATTCGTATATTAAAGAATATAATTACCTTATAAACAGGTCCAAATCCTCCTTCCCCAAGTTTGTTTGTTGTGCTGAAGTTATCGGTAGCGACTAGTATTTTATCAAAGTCAATAATTGGTAGCTCTGAAGTGTCCATTGAATCAACTATTTTAAAGTCCTTTCACATGTTTTCTCTCTTTACTGATGTTCAAAAATTGAACCACAAAACAAAAAATTATTTAGATTTCTCATATTTGAATTTGTTAAAAATAATCATAGTTGCTTCGCTTGTTGAGCAAAAAACAAACCCAATAATTTATGACTTAGCTATAGCTAATGATAAGTGAATTTCCGCCTAGTTGTTTTTTGTTTGGCAGCTTAAAATGTTTTAAAAATATCGTTCCTGTTTTTTCTCAAAGTACACTGGCTTTAAAATTATAAATTTTGCAGTTGATTAAACTTGAAGGTTCTTTTAATTAATCTGAATATTAAGAGTACAAAATTGTTGTATTGTCTACAAAAAACACAAATGAATATTTATACCACTTTGAACTGAATAAAAAGCTCATTTAATTTTTGACGAAACAAAAATCATTATTTTTCGTTGACAGGAGAGAGAAAATTGATGGCCACATGTATGTGTTACTTGTCCATGACAAGTTAGTTTCAGAAGCAAATAGATATGTCCTTTTTTATTTACTCTGCATATTAAAAATACCCTTCTTACCTCTTTGATTTGCTCTCCACCTGTGCATACCATACATGAAGGCACCCAAGAGGACAACCCCAGAAATTGTAGCAAAGATGATGATGAACTTTTTATTTTTCTTATCTTTTCCTAAAAAAAAAATGCAAAAGATAATGAAGAACAAATTTTAAAATAAAAATGATAGTTAATCCTAAGATATTAAGGCACAAATCAATTAACTTTACCCAGCTCTGAATATGAAAGGCGAAGGAAAAGGTTGTTCCCGGCAAGTGAAAACTGCTGATTATCTAGAAGGCCTCCAGACCAAACCAGCAATGAATTCCAGTCACATATGCATATGCCACACAAGAACAGTTACTGAAGCACCATTGTTGGCAACCTGAGGAATCCTCGGTGTACAAATATTCATGATGATCTGGCAGCTTCATACTGCTCAGCTTCCAAAACCCATCATTGTGAGCCTTTCCCGATTATAAGAAAATTGAGAGAGATTGAGAGAGCAATTTAGCTCTGTATAGGTCATGTGAGGGGTATAAGAGCACTATGGGAGTAAGCTCAGTTGTCACGTCAACCAGCTCCTCTCTCCAGCTTCGTGCTTTCTCTGATGCTGATTGGGCTGCGATCCTAGCTGACCGCCGCGCTCTACTACTGGTTTTGCTTTTTTTTTGCGGTGAATTCCCTTATTTCTTGGCCGCAGTAAGAAACAATCTCTACTGCTCGTCTCGTAACCGAAGCGAAATACCGTGCCCTTGCTGATACTACTCAGGAGCTTCTCTGCTTCGTTGGCTTTCTTGCTGACATGGGTGTTACTCCCTCTGGCGCTACTGCCCTCTTTGTGACAATCACCAAGTGCTCATTACAAATTGCTCAGCAATGATGTTTTTCATATCGCACGCAAGCACATTGAGATTGACTGTCATTTTATTCGGCAACACGTTTACTCATGGTACTGGTCCATCTCCATTCGATGCTCTTCTGTTGCATTCAAGCCTGCTGATATCTTCACCAAAGCTCATTCTCCTGTGCCGCATTTCATTGACCTTGTCTCCAAAACTCAAGTTGGCTTGATGTTTGTCCTCCTCCGAAGTTTGAGGGGGATGTAATATTTATAATAGTAAATAATATATGTAGATATTATATTAATAGATTAATAGTCTGTAGATAGTTGTTGCATAGTCTGTATGTTTTCTTTCTTTTCTTTTGCTAGTTGTTTGCATAGTTGGTGCTAGCTACACGAGATGCTTTGCTTTTCCTTTCCTTTTGCTACCTTCGGTGGCTTCACTATCACTTCTTGTCTGTAAACCATCTCTATAATAATGGAGGTTCCATTTGATTGCTAAATTACATCAAAAAC